CATTTCTAGATTCAATTATAGTATTGTTTGAAATTCGACTAATTTATGAGTTAATAACTAAGAATCTATTAGCGCTATTATTCTTGGCATATCCTATAAAGACGGTGTCTACAGTTTTAGGACTTATTTTCTTCTCTTTGGTTCGGAAATAGTTACCTTAGCTAAACACCCCCACATTTTCATGATACTAAGGTTGGGAATTCTTCCCTTCCATATCTCATATGGAGTTTTCTCATTATCTTTAACATATATTCTATTCACGATGAAAGAAACACCAAGTATAGCTTCCCCCCCACAAATTCTCAGATAAGCCGGAACTAGTCAACATTGAATTTACCATATCCATTAAGGTATTATTCTTTCTTTCGGTTACTCCATACGTTGAACCGAACGGCTGAAGCTTGAGTTGATGACCGAATTGAAGGTGTTGCTCCTCTCTCCATTTTAGATCTGTATTAGTTTCAGCAAGCTGAAGGCTTGAAGTATTTAGATCTGTATTTTGATTTTAGATCTGGTTAGTTGAAGTATTTGATTAGTTGATCGGCTGAAGCTTGTTGATTTTTAGTGAACAGCTGAAACTTGTTTCACTGTTAAAATTTTTCCATGTGAACGATTGAAGCTTGTTCACCAATTTTAAGCTTGTTTCAATGTGGGATAAAAATGGCAGAAGGTGATAGTTAACATTAAATTTGGAGATGAATCATAAATTCATATATTTTAAATTTAATTGTTTTTGTTAACTCCCAAGTTAATTGATACCTTTGATTAGTGAGTGAATAAAAATATATCTAGTTTAATCTGCTAAGATAGATTCAATGTAATTTTGTTTATTAGAGATTTCTCATACCAAACAAAAAAAAAATTACTTATGTTAATTACGCATGCCATAAATTATGATCATTCTAGGAAGAAAATGCTTGTACATATGAGCAATTTCATGATCATGATCCAATGGTTATACATTATTATCATGTAATCATGGTCATCCTCTATTAAAACTATGGGCATTTATAGTTGCATTCATGGGCAATTGCTACATAGACAATTCTTTCTTCTCTAGTCCTAATGCTTGTTAGCATCCATTAGACTTTTGAAACAAGTTCTTATGATCACAATTCCAAAGTACTTAACATGATTAAATGGAATGATGCATGTGACAGTTTTTAGGAAATCAATGATCAAATTACAATCATTTTTTAATTGTTTTCTTCGCAAATACTTTTCACTTAATCTTGTTTCACTAATTTAATTTTTTCTTTCAAACCTCTTTACATCTTCATGATTTGTATTTTACTGAAAAAAGGTTTGATCGAAAGAAAGACTTGGATATTTTAACCTTTAGGAAATGAGAACAGTTTCAGCATCCTATATTGTCTCGGTTGGCTTGTGATGTGATGACAATTCCTATTTCTATAGTTGCATCTGAATCTGCATTTAGTATCGATGGTAGAGTTTTGAATAAGTATCGAAGTTCACTTTTGTCAGAAATTGTCTAAGTTTTGATTTATACTAGAGATTGGATTCATGAGAAGAGCAGTAAGTGATTCCATTTTACTAGTATTATTTTTCTCATTATACTAATTCATGTGATCATCGATTTATTTATGTTTTGTTGTACTTAGTTGTAGATGATTCTAGTGATGATTCGGAAGGGAAAATAGATGATGATGTTTTAATCAAAATATGAAGTCTAATAAAACTATATTCACTAAATGTTCTAATTCTATATCTATCATTGATCATGACTAAAGAGAGGTAATGCCAAGTTTTTGGTACTTAACATTAATAATTAAATTATTAATGTTATATAATATTTCATTTTAATTTGTGTAGGGTATGGGAATTTGATTTTTGAATTTGCTCGTTGTCATGGAGGTGGATATTTAATATATTTCACGAGATTTTGTAAATCATGGAATTTGTAGTTGTTTGAGATTGTGGTTTATAATATGATTGTTATTTTGGATTGTATTTATGATTTGGAATATGGTTGTTGGTGGAATTTGAATATTTTGGATTATAGTTTATACTTTATAATATGGTGTGGTATGATATCTCTAAATATCACATTTATTTATGTTAGTTTATTAGTTTTATAAAGTTATATAATATTTTTAAATAAACAGGTAAATGGTTAAACATGTGGTTTACCGTGTAAATGGGTCAAACGGTTGGTAAACAGATAAATGAGTCAAGCGGGTGGTAAACAGGTAAATGAGTCAAACAAGTGGTTTACCGTGTTAACTCGACCCAACCCAACCTAACCAAATCTGACTCGTTTAAAATTAGACGTGTTAAACTAGTCGTGTCGTGTTACCCGTTTATTATATAATTCATGTTTGTGTTTCGATTTTTTACTCGTTTATTAAACGTGCTGTGTACGGGTTTACATATTTTTCATCCGTCACTCATCACCTGTTTAACTCGACACGTAATCGTTTAACCTGACACGTTTGACACCCCTCGTCTAACAGGTCAACTTATTTACCACTCGAACCCGTTAAGGTCTCACCTAAACCCGCTTAATTCGTGTTGATTAATCGTGTCGTGTCAAATTTTAACAGACCTATCTTCGACCCTTGAATGTGGGTTTTATCAAACCCGTGGGGGTGGATTTTGGTCAAGTCATACTTGGATCAGTGAGACAAATGTCATTTATAAATTTGAATTAAACAAGCATAAATATAGATTGAATTAATCAATAAACAATGTAGTTATTAATTGGACAAATATATTATGATAATAATAATATATCAGTGAGCACAACCTATGTATGTGTTACATACCAAACGTATGTATGAATTAAATTTAATATTAAATCTTATTTTTATAAAGAAGAGTTTGAATTTAAAAAAATCTAAGGGGAAACCAATCCAAACCCTCCTTAAGGTCTTGCGCAATCTAGGCTGCCCAACAAATATTCTTGGCCTTTCGCATGTATGTAAAGTACCACGACATTGTTTGCACAGCACGAGCTATGACTTGTGTACCTTCCACCTCGGTCAAAAGCAAGTTACCACGCCATCCCCAGGCTGATACTTTGCTTTATCTAGAGGCATTTCTCGAAAGAGAAGTCGTATTTGTGGTACAATTATTTTCAGACATTTTGACTTGCCTATGAATTCTTATTTGTCTAACCAATGAATTAGGTTTTTTTGACTTTTGACCTTTGAATAAAAGTGCAAAAAAGTACATTCACAAGACTCTAGTTATAGCGAGGCTTAAAAAAAATCTTATATTCATATGCAGATAGATTACTTCCACAATTCGAATCTTTAACATTCAAGTCACGAAGATAGAGATAACACCTAACACCATCATTGATCACATGCCCAGCCTACCTCTGCACTTCTGGCTTCTTACAAGTCTTTCCAACCGTCTCAGGAGTCATCCAACGTTTTATGACCAGCAAGAGAAGGGGTCTGATATCCTTGGTCTCTTCTTTCAACTAATTAATCACAATTAAGGATCTTATTTTTAAGAAAGAAAATAGTTGTCTAGTACACGATCTTTTCATCAATGTAGAATTTGGAAAGGAACAGAGTTATGCAATTTTACTTTTACATTTTGAGAGATTATTTTCACGATTAGAACATTTAATGCTCTGATTATTTTTTTTGGAAAGGAACATAGGATGAAACAACCTTACCATTACGTCTAGGCTCACGTTCATTTTACTTCTATTGTTTCTCTAAATTTGTCATAATTTTTCCTCTATTACTCTCTCCCCCTAAAGCGAAAAAAAATAATGAATTATACTCTCTCCCACTAAAACGAAAAAAATAATGAATTATCTATAATATAAAACATGATAGGTTTCAATAAGTTCATTTGACGGTCTCAAATAGATTTATTTAACGACCACCAACATCTCTCTCAAAATTATATTACACCGTGTCTTTAAACACGGGTTACAATGGTATATTAATATTTAATCTTTTTTGTTCGGTTTTTGATGGATTCAATTGACCAAAGTGCTACATGTAGTGGTATTTCACACTCCAGTGGATTCAAACTTTAGTCCCAGTAGATCCACACATCCCATTAGTATAAAAGACTCATGGATTAGGAATTTTTGGTCCTTTCATGCAATGAAACCTTTCAAGTTTTCAACATTCTCTCATGGATTAGGCATTTTTGCTCCTTTCATGCAATGAATCCTTTGAACTTTTCAACGTTCCATGCAAGTGACAGCCAATAGAAAAGGAGTAAAAAAACACCCAAAAGCAAAAATGAGCAATGCTATTTTAATTTAAAACACTGACTTAATCAATAATTATCATTGATTTAACCGTAGGTCAACATTTATTGAGATCTACTACTTATTCAATAGTTGTGATTAATCAAATTAGTAAATTATATATACATTTTAAATTCAAATACTCCCTCCGTTCCTAAATATCTGTCGTTTTACATATTTTTTTTGTTCTATAATATCTGTCGTTTAATGAAACCAAAACATAATTAATATTTTTTCTTCCAAATTTATCCTTATCTATGTTTTTCCAATAAGTGTTTAATAGATTAAGTGTATGTTAAGTGTCTTTTATATTCTTTTTCTTTCCAATACGTATTGAATAAAGGTAAAAATTTTAATGGGTTAAGGTATTTTGGTCAATATTTTGGGATGTTTTGTAAACACATTTTAATTTCCATCCTAATTTCAAAACATTTCTGTTTTTGAACTCATCTAAAGGAACCAAAACAGAATTTTGATCTTGCTCCCAAATACTGGTCTTATCTGACAGCATCTGGGTCGGTGAATAAACACCCGCGTTTTGATTCTTTCAGCCGAAAAGTCCAATCCTATCAACCTCTATTTTCATGCTGCCCTCCTATTTTCCCTCATATAAACTCTTCCCAAGGAAACATAACAACATACTACATCACAGCTCTGAGCTCCCATACCGCGTACCCAAACTTTTAGCTGCTTCTTTCTCTCTCTACATTCTCTAATTTCTCTCTTCAATCTCTTCCTTTCCTGCAATTCATTCTGTGTCATGATTTCGAACCCCGAGAACTTTCAGGCCATTCTGGGTGCGCCGGGGGTGACCGGAAAGACAGTCACAGATCTACCAGAAGATGGGCTCAAAGAATTTATACAGTCCACCATTTACAAGAACCAAGAACTCAAAGAACCCTTTTACGTGCTGGACTTGGGCGTGGTCATTTCCATCATGAACAAATGGACTCGCACCCTCCCCGCCGTTCGTCCTTTCTACGCCGTCAAATGCAACCCGGACCCGTCTTTTCTCGGCGCATTGGCGGCTCTCGGAGCAAGCTTTGATTGCGCCAGCCGGGCTGAGATCGAGTCCGTTTTGTCGCTCGGAGTCTCTCCGGATCGAATCATCTTTGCCAACCCATGCAAATTTGAGTCTCACATCAAGTACGCTGCCAGGGTTGGTGTTAACCTCACAACTTTCGATTCCCAAACCGAAATCGAGAAGATCCGAAAACATCACCCGAAATGTGATTTATTGATTCGGGTCAAATCTCCAGATGATAGTGGAGCGAGATGTCCCTTGGGTCCCAAATACGGCGCACTCCCTGAGGAAGTGGAGCCTTTACTCCAAGCTGCACAAGATGCGCAGCTCAGTGTACTAGGCGTCTCGTTTCATATTGGAAGCGGTGCCACGTATTCTTCTGCATATGAAGGTGCTATTGCAGCGGCTAAAGCCATATTCGACTCGGCATCTCGACTTGGCATGCCTAAAATGCACGTGCTCAATATCGGTGGTGGTTTCACGGCGGGTCCAAACTTTGATGATGCGGCTAATATCGTTAAGTCGGCCATCCAAACTTATTTTCTAGATGAACCGGGCTTGACTATCATTTCCGAACCGGGCCGTTTCTTTGCCGAGTCGGCTTTCACTCTTGCCACCAACATCATTGGGAAGCGCGTGAGGGGCGAGCTAAGGGAGTATTGGATTAATGATGGTGTTTATGGGTCGATGAATTGCATACTGTATGATCATGCAATCCTTAATGCGACACCATTCGTGGGCTCAGGGAATGGTGGTGATCACACGCGCCATGATGCAAAGACTTACTCTTCGACCGTGTTTGGTCCCACTTGTGATGCACTTGATACCGTGTTGACAGATTACCGGCTACCGGAGCTGCAGGTGAACGACTGGCTTGTGTTCCCAAACATGGGTGCATATACAGCTGCTGCCGGGTCAAATTTCAATGGGTTCAACACTTCAGCAATTTCAACCCACCTGGTGTATTCAAATTCCAAGCTGACTCGTTGAAGCTTTTGATTTTTGTTCTTTTGAAGTAGTCAAGAAATGGATATCACGTGTAGATCCAACATCGTCATCACGTATGTAACCAATAAGGTTTGGGTCAAATACGGATTTTGTTGTATATCTCGGATAAATGAAATAACTTTTTTTTTTTTTTTAAAACAAAAGAATTAGTGAAGGGACCCCTAATGATTTGTCTTATTCTATTCGAAAAACTGTTATTTATATTTAATTTGAGTTTTTAATCATTTGTTATTGTTGGATTAAAATTAGCTTCATCGATCATTAAAATTTATAATTAATCCAATGATTACAATTAATTAAATTCTTTAATTAATTCCTTATAACATTGAGAATTAGTTTAGTGGACAATGCTGTTTTTCTTTTTCTGTTATTTTAGCACTGGACTTGTTTTTTCACTGTGGGAGACCAATAAGAAAGTGTGGAATTGAAAGATCTCCCCAATTTTTTTTTTTACTTTCTCTTGTTATATACAATAAGTCTTATTGGAATTCACTATGTGTGATTTAAGAAAAAGAGAAATGGAGAAAAATATTTTGAAGAGAAATCCTTCTCCTAGAATTAATAGTGCAAACATCAGTTGTTCACCATGCCATGCTTACTCAAAAATTTTCAGCATAATAACATAGACAATATTATAGAATTAATTTTATATTAAAATAAATCTATTTCAAATTTATTGTTTTTATATGTGAGAGTATTAAATAAATCTCTATATTTAAATTTTATTAATTTTTTGTAACGATAAATGATACCCTTAAACGGAATGAACCGCCCCCCTCACCATTAAACATGTGGGATTAAGACACTATCTGAAGGAAAGGTTAATAGGTTAATTTAATTTTATGTTCGAATGAACACCAGTTTTTTTAACCTATATGTAGCATAATTACCTCTTCTCAAATTAATTAAACAATTAAAGTTGAGAACCATTTTTCATAAGAACAATTCTATGAATCGCGAAGATTGATGTTGTCAATTTTAAGCTTAGCACTTAATTTCACACGATTCACAAGAACAATAGTACGAACCATGAAAATTGATGTCATCAATTTGCTAATTTTAAGCTTAATACTCAATCTCACATAATGATACCATTCATGGTAACAACCAATCAACAAAACCACTATGAATATGACGAATATTCAAACAATTATAACATCAAATGCATAGTGTCTATGTGTGTGTCAGATTGCAAGTGTGTATGAAGATAAACAATATGAACACGAGTAACTTGTTGACGAAAAACCCTTCTTGAAAAAAAATAGTGGAGAACTACATAAGGGTCATTAAAATCTAATCCATTATCCCAAAGTAAGTTTACAAAGTACTCGAAACTTATATCTTAATTAATATTATGGTTAGACGTTCATTTCCTTTAATAAACTTCTGCACTGGATACACCTAACGATGTTATAAATTGCTTTACTTTAACTCTCCGCCGCACGATTTGTTTAGACTTTGAGCAATCCTAGGACGCAGACAAGGCTCCTGGTATGCACACTGTCTAATGGATTTGGTTGATCTCCCAATCAGAACCTTTTTCTAAAAGAGATAACATAGCTTGGAAAGACTCCTTCTAAGATCGAGTGGCCTGAGAGCGACTCAGATGGCGGTTTCCACCGTCCACTCGTTCAGCATTCCCCTATAGATAATATGGCTAATATATTCAAAGTCTAGTAGTTGAATAGTAAGACAAAGACCTATATTTTATGGAAGTCCTGATCATTGAAAAGAAAAACATTCTAAATAATAAATCCAAGGTCACTAGCAGAACTCTAGTTTTGTCTGCTGCTATTTGTAACATAATGAAATTCTTAACAAACCTAATTAAAATCTAAATAAATGTAACTTGTTAAAAATTGTAAATTAAAAAAGAATATGTTAGAATTATTTTACAAATAGAACCATGAAGTATAATATCATGTGAAGAATGATTCTCAAATTAGCTAGGGTCCCAAAGTAAATTTAAGCTTAGTTGAATAAAATCTTTCTATCATATTTAGCTTTGATGAGCCCAAATTTAACCGGATCAGGCCCAATAAATCAAGTAAATTCAAGTCAGTTAAAAGGCAGATCAAACCTAGTTCATAAATTCGACCCAACTCAAAGTCCGAAGAGTTCAAGAAGAATTAGAGTATTTGAGGAGTAATTATCGGGATACTCACTCTTGAAGATTAAGACACATTTTAATTGTATTTACCTTTTGTAGTTATCCGAAGAATTAGTACCTTCCCCATCAAGTCACTGCCTCAACTCAATTAAGGTTATGTGCTTATAAATTGTAAGCTCTCTCTATCGAGAAAAACATCTCTACACCTCTCTACATATCCCACATATAACTTCTCTCTCTCTTAGCTATTGTATCTCTTCCAGGACTAACCATTGCTCTCTCTCTCTCTCTCTCGTTCTACCTTACTTTATCAATAAATGTCTCTCAGCCACCATTGCCATTTCCTGAAGTGGAGTAAGTTAACCGAACCGAACTACTATATATTTGTGTGTGACTCAATATTTATATTATTGTCATTGATTGGTCCATTAATTACACTTTGATTACACACTCGACTGTTGATCTTGCACGAAACTATTTTGTGCATCATCAAGCTTAGTTGAAAGTTGAATGATTCTCATATTTAGTTGAATAAAACCGCTAAGACTGCATTAGCTGCTAGTTTTTTGCAGCAAAACCTGTTTCAATCTATTGTTTTTGAGTACCAAGAGGTGCTACTCAACAAGGCAACATACCATGACTCTAAACGCATTTTAGAAAAGTTAACAAAGAGCAATGTTATGGAGAATAAAATCCTAGTCTCGAGTCAAATTTTAAACCCACTTTAAATCAATCTAAACTCATCAAGTCTCTTAGTCACTTACCTTACGAAATCCGACGGATAGCAAGGATGTAACTTTGAAATGTAACAATGTCCTTTTTTCCAAACAGTGGCGTGGTCTTCAATCTTTTCAGCATCATAACCATTAGACTTGACAACTTACAAGTCAAGCTAAGAATTCAAATGAACATATCTGAAATCCTAACAGAGTTAAAGAGCATCCTATATTGAAGATTTTACATCTTCATTAGAATTTTATGCTAAATAATCATGTTTTTGACACATACTTCCATCTTGGATATTCAAGCCAACCCAATTCCCGGTTGGTTTTACAAGTAGGTTAGAAAGACATAGCGAAATAGAAAGTGTTGGATCTAGGCCTTAAAATATATAAAGAACAAATGTTAATCTACATGATCTCATAAACCTGAAAGAGAAAATATTAGGCACTTTTCTCAATTACATTTCAAAAGTAAACTTGGAGTTGTACCGGGGGGAGAACTCGATGTGAATCTTCTCTCACGATTGCACATGTGAAACTATAAGTATTTTACCTAGAGAGAGCATAAATAGGTTTTTCAATTTTAGCCAAATTGATTACCAATAAAAACGAAAGTCACCACAATTTCCTCGTCTCACAAAGATATAGAAATTACTGTAAGAACCCCTTTGGTCACCATAATCTAAATTAACCATGACAATTGATTTTAATTAATCTTGAATTAATTCATTCAACAATCAATCTCACAATTATTCCAAAACCTAAACCCAATGTACAACTATGTATGGATAGATATTTAAACAATCATTTCAACAAATATATAGTGCACGTGTGTGCTCACAATCACAAGTGTGTATAATAAACAATAAAGAAAATAAATGATTTGTTAACGCAGAACCTTCATCGGAAAAAATAGTGAGGAACCTTTTTGATTCACCAAAGTCTAATGCACAACTCGCTAAGTCAACATACAAGTACTCGAGTCTTATATCTCAATTAATACCACGGTCAGATGCTCTTTTCCTTGTTGTCTCTCCGTCAAAAGCCTTCTTGAACGTCTAGTGTAGTTTCACTTGTATTTCCTCGTTGTACGTTTCGGCTAGGTCTTGAGTAATCATGGGCATGCCAATGATACTTGATATGCACACACCAATAGATTTTGTTTCAACACTAAGTTATGAGGTTGGGTATAATTTTTAGTGGTAGTCTTTGAATTTAAGAATCTTGGTTAGTGGTAGAAGCTCTCAGGGTATGTTTGGATGGTAAGGTAGGAGTGGATTGGATATCTAAAAAAATATTATTTCCTATCTAATCCAAACTCACCAAACTATAATCAGGATAGAATATAAATTGATATATCCAGTCTTTTCTCCTGTTTGGGTAAATTATACATTTTTGTAGGACTCATGAATAAGAGTGATGTAATTTGCATTCAAACTATTATATCCTTATTCTATTTTTTCATGCACCACACAGGATTAAGAAGCCTATGACAGAAAAATAGTTAAAAAAAAAATCTAAAATTTCATGATAAAAATACACATGTATCTAATCAAATCAGATTGAATTGTGCTAGTAGCAGCTCGTGGGATGCCTGTGCAAGTGATAAAGATGATATGGAAAGCAAGGAGAGATTTAAAGCTCAGAGAAAACTGAAGCCCAAAGAACGTAATTCACAGTGACCAAACAAAGGACATAATAAAACAAAAAGTTTGTTTATACATAGGTTACGAAATCTATCTATACATATAAAACAAATATTTTTTGAATGAGAAGATTTGAGAAGTCTTGCCTCCTCAAATACTTATGATCCTTTCGGTAGGTGAATGAAAAAATAGAAGGATGAAAAATATGAATGATATATTTCCATTATTTAAGGGAGGAATCATTCATTCCCGACCATATGTCAGGCCAACCCTGATGCATCTACGGATGATGAGTTTGGTTAAAAGATTAATGAGTCCTAGTTTTGAGTAAAGTTATGCTTATCAACCCACACATAAAGGACGACTCATTAACAAATAATTTGACACGAGCAATCAAACACATTGGACTAAGATTGACAAAGCTGGTACACAACATACCTTGATTGACACTACTGAGTTAGCACTGACATCCCCTTTCCAAACAGAATGGACTAAAGACACAAGTTTACCTTCAAAGAAACAAGAGAGCTACAAAACAACTAAAATGCATCCCCAACATCCTAACACCATCACACCTAATTTACATCTCTAAAGGTTCGAGGTCGAAGGTTACAACATTTGTCCACACAGAAGAAAGCAAGCAATGGCCAGATACCCATTAGTCGAAGACATCTGCTGCTGGATCAGCAAACAAGACACATAACTACTGCCCAGACATGAATGATATGGCACGTCGGAAATCCAAAGACTCGAGGGCTGACTTAGGGAAATGCTTTCCATCAGGCACCCACAAACCCTTGTGGGGCAGTAACACCTGAGGTTTGCTACTCGATGCTGCTGCTTCACCAACTTTTGGAGCTGGAACTTCTTTCTTTTTCTTCACAAATTCAAAGAACTTTGCAACTTGTTGAGCATACCTTGACAAAAGGGGAATTACAAAGGAGTTGTTAACATCATTTGCAATGAGATCCATACCAAGAATTAGACAACACAAAAAGATATAGACAAAAAAATAAAAAAAATGAATGACTGGATAATGACAGAAATGGAGAAGAAAAAAATGTGGGAAAACACATTACAAAGAAGAGAAGTTAAAGGGATCCACATAGTGTCATAGAACCTTGTGATTTAGATGTTAGAAAATTGATGTCTCTATACATATGTGCACCAGAGCCACCGGGTTACTAATCAGGCCTGAAACCAATTATATTTACAAACACATTCTTCACCAAAGATTTTATACCCTCCACCTGCTTTGGGGTGGAGTAAAGGAGGGTTTTGGATGATATGAGAAACAAGTTCTGATAACCATATTTTTAGGCTGGTATTAGTTAAGGAGCCAAGCTTGAGCAACTATAGCTCATCCCAGCAAATCTTGTGGACATGGAAGTAAATGAATAAAAATAATCAGAAAATGATAACTCAATTGGGGTGCGTAATAACACTCACTCTTTCAGAGTCTCAAATTCACTTCACAAACACTTGCTTATTGACATGTTCAAATTTTAATATTTACCCAATCCGTCTTCCAAAGCCATACAACAAATAATCAAACCAGGCTGAGGATTCAACCATTGTATGCAACAGCTAAGATCTGCCACAGCCCTGCTACCTTACCCAATAAGAATAGATATATCTAGTTTTATGCCATACTTGCACATCATTATTATTACGCACACAATGTTCCATATTTACAGAAAATTTTGGAGACTCAACTTTTGGCTTTTATCCAATAGAAGTGGCCATTGTAGCTTGAACCAAAACTAAACCAATTTTTATAGCCAGCGTTCATATAATCCAACCAATGGGCCTCAAGTAGTTTTTATGCTTCCCATGCAGTCCCTGAGAGGAGTTACAGAATCTGGCTCAAGTTAGCAACAAGAGTTGTATTTGTTAGTATAGTCTGTGCTTGTACCTCTTTCTATGTTACCATCGCGGTTGTAATTTTCAAATTGGAAGATACATTTGTTTTTCAGGCACCTAAATTTTCAGAAAATGCTTTCTAAAATTTGAACATCTTTAACATTTCCAGATTCTATCAGAACTACGAATCTGAATTAAGATGTCTTAATCTTAATTGGATGGGATCATACAAGGATCTCCAATGAAATCCCACCTTATTAGGCAGCCAAGTAAAGCAAAAAATTATCATCAACTTCACTACAGCAGATGATGTATTCAAGCCAACTCTTAAACATACTCAAGAAATGTGGACCGTATACCAGTTTTATTATGAATTTTTCATAAGTAACAAATGTGAGGGAAAATTTGTTGGCACAGCTCCAGTTTCCGGAACTCTATGGATCACTATTGCACATTTTTCCATGCACTGGTCTTTTTCAGGATCTTCACAATATTGAAGACAAGTTAGTATACCAGGTAATCATTAGTGATCATAAACTATGTCAGCCCAGTTAAAGTTCACAACCAAAGTTCATCTTTGTTAAAAAAAACCTTAGTGTAGTTTAAAATTTGTTCTAACCCTGAAAAACATTCGTAAAATAATTTACTAGGTGATTGTCTGGTCAATGTGAATGTAAGTTAGCAGGTGCTCAACTTTTACATCGATAAAAAGAACAAGATTCGAGTGAAGCTTAAAGACAAGATGGGCAAAATGAAAGAAGAGAATAGAAACAAGATAAAGGTCTAACTATGCCTTAACTTTCAATATGTATAAAAATTTTGATGCAGAGGATACTCCACTAAATTCCGGAACAAAATTGACATAGCAGAATTGCAAAGCAGGACCAAAATGTTAACTAATACAACCAAAGCATCCTTTGAAGTTTGCAGGAAGGCCATTAAATAGATGAAAAACAACAATACTATAGAGACACAATGTTGTGTTTGATATTGTTGCTTGTAAAATGCATTAAAGCAATTTTGGAAGGTTTTTCATTCAACATGATTTGGTCATGCAAAATGCAAAGGTCAAATCTAATGCAAAAAACTAGCTTGATGAAATTATACACTCTAGTCATAAAAGCAAAGTCCCTATTCCCTAAGTAATATTTGACAGAAAATTAACTGAAAGTCGTAAACCAACGTTTGTATCATCATATATACAAAACTTCCGAGTCTATGTCAGACAAAAAAGAAAATGAAAGAAACAAAAAATATTTACCTCAATACTTGAACCCTCTTAGTAGAAGCTAAAGTACCTATTTTAGTTATATGTTTAATCCAAATATAAAAATATAGTGTTTAATCCAAATATAAACAATATTGTATATAAATAAAAAAGCAGAATACCGAAATAGCATATTCCTATCCAACAAAGAGATGCAAAGCACAATATAAGCAGAAATCAAAAAGATCACATCATATACCAGCTTAAGGAATAGCCAAGCTACATTCACAAAATCACCTAAGAAAAATCATAATTGGAGTGTCATAATAACGTAAATCAATGAGGAAAATAATGACAAAAAATTCATGGACAACATACTAGTTTTTCTTTCTCGCAGTTAGAAACACGTAGTTCAAACTATTCTGGGACTGCAGTGTATCAAACATTACCCTATTGGGTCATAGTAAACAATACTCAGAGAAGGGTAAAACAAAATAACATGCAGACATAAAATAATTAGCCAGTAACAAGGCAAAGAGATCATACTGCTGCTTTGCTTCAATGTCGTTGCTGAAATCTATATTGGGTTCACAATCAAGAACCAAAGCTGGAACCTGCAATGACAGAAAACAGCCCTAGGTAAAATTTTAAACTTCCATAGCAAATTCAGTTATATGGAGTAAACATATAGAAAAGTACCTTTTGAATGCTTGAATGCATATGGTTACCCTCCAAGTAAAACACGCGATCCCTTATATCAGGATGTAATGAGCAATCCACTTCCGAGGGAAGCTTATTGACAGATAAAATCCCATGATTTCCACTTTGGAATGGGAAAAGCCAGCTCTCATGCTTTTCATGCAAGTCACGCAGATACTCCAGCGTTACTCCACCTTCCTCTGCTCTCCTCCGTAGCAACAATCGCTTGTGACAAGTATCAGGGCTTGCTCTAAGATAAATAAAACCATCGGGTATAAGGCCGGGCAAACTTGAAACAACTGGATCGAACCATGAGTCATAAATGCTGATCTCCATCTCATTCATCCAATTTGCCTCATGAACAGCTCGCACAAATACCTTTATCAAGTAAAAATGAATAAAATGCATCATCCTCAACAGCCTTCATAAGAGGTTTTTCTCCTTTCATATGGGATTAAAAAACCAGAAAATCAAAGAACTGCTGCATTTGAAGCTAATCTGTTGCAAAACCATGGTCAAAAGAAGAACATGTACCAAATTCAAAAATCATTCAGATTAATGAGTTGTGGAACTTAGTAAAATTTCACCGAAGTGTTTTAAGTCAAAACTATGGTCAAAAGAAGAACATGTACCAAATTCGAAAATAATTCAGATCAATAAGAGTTGTGAACTTGGTGAAGTTACAACAAAGTTTCAGACATATCATAATTAAGTTAAAAGGCTCAATAATGTATGCATACCATCCTATCACTGAAAACACTCCTCTCCATCAATCTGAGGGGCTTAAGTCCACCGGATGATTCTCTCTCCTGCATAACTCTTGTAACAAACACATAGTTTTGGAAGGTATAAGCATATCTTTGTGGCTCAGCATAAAAAGCATCTAATATATTAAAGTGGTCTGGTCCAACATCCTGCCATTTGTTGATAGGTTCTGGGACAATCTCGACAAGATCCTGTAGCTCGAGTGTTTCATTAGCTATTCTCTGAAGGAAAGTTGTCTTCCCAACACTGATATTTCCCTCAACACAGAAAGTAAGGCGTTTCTTTGGGGCAGCTTGAAATCAGAATTAGAACTATCCTCCTTTAACTCTTCATCCACACTCTCCTTGATGAAAGTAGTTATACTCTCAGCATGGTTTCTGTGAATGATACCAACTGAACTCCGTAAAATTCAACCATCTTCTGACTTGACATCCCAAAGAACTGCATGACATTCCAACACCAATTATTACACAATGAATATTCCTTCCAATATACAGACTATGATGTTGAAACAATTTCTTAATGAAGTGCTTGAACTACATACTCAAAAACATTGACTTGTAACAACTACTGAAACACACACAAAAAATTGACTACCAATGACCACTTTGCTCAATTCATACAAAACTGGGTTAAAACAACACCTAGGAATCAAAATCCTTATGATAATAGAACCCGCAAGGTTCATAAACAAAGAATGATATGATGCTTGTCCACTTAAACGAAAAGATGATGCTGTAATGGCTTTCCAGAACAGTACTTCAGCATCCAGTCCCAAAATTTACTTAGTAGTAGCAACAACTACTACAGATAAATATTGGTTCAAGCACAAAAGTAATCGATGTAATATTGGAGTTAGGTCATAAGGACAAACAGTAAGCAAATGAAAAATGACGCTCAACGCAAATACATAAACTGTAGCAATGTAACTAACATTGTTTCAACTTTACTCATTTTCAATACCACAAATGAAACAATTACACAATGTAGTACTTTCCACATTACGTTAATATGCAGAACATATTTAATACTAATCTAAACCATAAATTACAAGCATAAGACATCTACCACTCTCAATCACCTTTGCACACCACACTCAAATACACATTTTTTTGGGGGGGGGGGGGGGGAGAGAGAGAGAGAGAGAGAGAGACCTTATCTTTGTAGAGCTGTTTGAGCTCGGCAACACCCCCAATACCCTTCTCCACCAACTTCCTCAAATTCCTAGGTCCCACCCCTGGAATAGTCAACAAATCGGGACTCCCTGGCAATGCCATACCTCCTCCACTACCCTTCTGCCTCCTATGCAATCTCACTGACTTTTCCTCCGAAGAATCCACCACTCCCTTCTCATTCTCTCCCCCATTCTCAACCGCATAACTCTCTGAGGTCTCAGACCCCTTGGCCGCAGCCACTGATAAACCCTCATCGGGAATAGTGCTAAACCACGCCCACAGCGACCCACTCCGGCGGTTCTTGAAACCTACCCAAGCCCTCACTCCGTTGGCGTTTTCAATGGAACATCGACAAATTCTGCAATTATTGGCAGAAAAAACCTGAGAACTGATGGTAGAAGAGGCGACAGCAGTAGAGGTGTACGGGTTATTTTTCACGGCGGCGACACCGACAGATGGGTGGAAGCGGAGAGTCGCGGTGGGGGGCATAATGTATAGCGGAGTGTGAGGGGTTTTCGGCTTAAACCCTAGACAGAGAAAGTGGGTGTTTCGGTAAACCCCAAGAGATATAAAGTTTTGGGTGGTTTTTACTGGTAGAACGAAAGATGGGTTAAGGACAGTGCAGAGAATTGGGGACCCAGTAGGGCTTCGGCGCAAGAGCTTCTGCATCACTTTGGAGCATTTCACAGTCGCCCTTTAACAATTTTGTCTCTGCCTGACGACACAACTACAGAGAGCGAGAGAGAGAGAGAGAGAGAGAGAGAGAGAGAGTGGGCGGGAAGCAGAAGGGTTTTGGTTTTTGGTTTTTGGGTTTTGGGTCAGTTGAGAATTCAACGGGGGTTGTGAAAGTGGAAAAGTTGGCGTTTTGAGGGTTTGATCGATGAAGAAGGGGGTTAAGAATAAGAATCAATTTTTTTTTGGTTAATTGCAAGTTGGATTAAGAGAAATCTTTCCAATCTCAATTTTTACCCTCAAATATTAAAAATTTTAATTTACATTCTTAAAAATAAAAATTTATATCAATGTGCATATAAAACTAACTATCATCAATTTACTGCCGGAAACTAAATTAATAAATTATACCTAGATCCCCTCGTACTTATCACTTAATCATTTAAACCTCTCGATAAAATAAAAGATAATATAAAATTATAATTTTTTATTAGGATAAAAACACATGTTTTAACAGTTATATTAAAAGATATCAACTAAAAAATGTTACATGTTACACATACACAAACGTCATGATATGTATGAATAATATTCTAAATATGAAAAGATCTAAATGATTAAGTGACAAACATGAAAGGATCTAGGTATAATTTATCAATTTAATTTTAAGTAGCAAACTGATAGCGATTAGTTTTAAGTACACATTGATACAAGTTTCTATTTTTGAGGATATAAATTAAAATTTTTGATTTTTAAGGGTATAAATTAAAATTCAAACGATCTTTCAAGATATAATTTATAATTAACCTATTTTTTTTGATATTATAATTATAATTAATCTATTTTTTGTGTTCTTCGGGAAAAAAAAATGATTTCCACTGTTTAGGGACTGTGGAATCTATGTCGTCTGTGAGATGCAGGTTTAGCATATAAATTTTAATTTTTAGTTTTTAATGTTTTTTTTATTTGTGTCTTTGTTGAGTTGTCATTGCCGTTGTCATTAGCAGTTGAGGACTTGATAAGAGGTGGTTCAATATTCAGTATTGAACTGGCCAGCATTGAGCAAAGGCCGGAATTTCCGGAAAGGATTCCTCAAAACCAAATTTTTTTTTTTGAAAAATTAATAATAAGTATTATTTTTCTTTTCAAATATCCATTAAATCCCATTATTTTTATTTTATATCAATGAAGGACTCCTCGTATTTTATTTGAATGAAATTTTAAATTTCATAAAAACTATATTTTATTTTAATTCTGTCATTCTCTTAACAAATATTGACATCTAAGATATTGAGATATAATATTAGTCTTATTTTATTCATACAATACTCCAATTGCTTACCTTTTAAATTATGTAGTGCCTTCTTGTTTGGTTTTATAAAAAAATTAATTACTAATAATTTTTTGAATTGTCATTTATGATATGTAACAGAGGGCCTTAGACTGTATGTATTCTCGATGAAGAAGAATTTTTACGACGAAAATCCTAGTGCATTGCATTTTTAAAATTGCAATTGAAGGAATATTATTATCTAAACAAAAATTTAGCATCCATGTGTTTGTAACAATAACTTTAATAATATTTTTTGAAAAAAACAATAGTTTCAATAAAAACTTAACACTATTAGTAAAAAAAGGAAATTAGCTCATATAAAAAAAGGATGAAAATTGAACCAATCTAAAAAAAACATAAATTTGAGTTAAATAACAATTGATACACAATTATAGTGTATTTCTTAGCTCTAATAATTTTTCAATAAGCGAAAAGTGAGAACAAAATGACAAAAAAAATCTCATCCATAATCTCCATCAAAAAGTACTCGTCAACATTAGTAAACAAGGGAACAAATAGCAATTGAAAAACCCTATTAAGAGTATGTCGTCGGTACTTGACCTTAAAAAAATAAAATCTTTACAAAACAAAGAGTATCATTAGACCAAAGGTATTAAAAACGAAACAATCTCAAAGAAACGAGCCCAAGATGGTTTATTAGCTTTCCCAGGGGAAATGTAATTCCTCAATTCCCAAACCAACCTCCATTTGGTCCTCTACTTTGTAACTCCAACTCTTCTTTTTTAACCTCACCTATCAGATCCAACAACTCCCTCAGCAATGTTAGCATAATTCCCATCGATTCTAGGCCCACTCTTACAATGAGTACATGGAAAAGAAGAGTTTTTGACCCATATCAAGGCTTTTTTAAAAAAAAATTCTCAACTAAGGGTTGGTTTGAAAATAATTTTCAAACCTAGGGAGTTTTAAAAACGTCATTTGGTCTGACATTTTTAAGCCAAAAGACATCAATTGGTCTGACGTTTTTAGCTTAAAAACGTCAGACCAAATGACGTTTTTAAGCTTGTTCTGTAGCCCATATGGAGTTCAATGATGTCAGACCAATTGACGCTATTAAGTAAAAACGTCAATTGCACTGACGTGTTTAACAATTCAAACTTGCTGATTCCATTTTTCCTCCTCTCTTATTTCCTTTCCTTATTTTCTCTTCTTCCCCCAAAATTCCATTTGAGCCCTAACTCGCTCAAGCGAACCACTACCATCGCAGCACCACCCACCACCATATAGCACCACCCAACGCCACCCACTACCACCCAGGACCACCCAACCCCACCTACGACCACCCATCGGTCTGGCGAGTGTGATGTTTTTACTGAAAATTCCGATGATTATTTATGGAGTTCCTTCATCGTCTTATTCTGTGTCATTTGAGTTTGAGAATTGTTCAATATGCTTGGCAGAGTTTATGTGTGGAGCGGCTGTTAGAGTTTTGCCAAGGTGTAAGCACATGTTTCATAGAGAGTTTATTGATCAGTGGATGCCATTAAGGTCTTCTTGTTGTCCTGTTTGCAGAGACCCAACAATATTTTGGGTGGTTATTTAGTAGTTGTTAATTTTTTGGTCAGGTTTTTATTTATTTCTTTTTGTGTGTGTGTTTGGGGGGGGGGGTTAGTGGTTAGTTCACAGTTTTGGGGCCAATTCTATTTTGTTTCATTCACTTGATTATGAAGAGATTTATGTCATCACACAATTTTGCAAATAGAATTGTGGGCTTGCATCTTGCTATTTATTTATAGCATTTTGTACTTAACCTATTTTTTTGCTTTTACCCCAATGTCCCGTAATGTTGCTGAGGCTAAAAGCAATTCACATGATCCACAACAAACTACATTTCTGAGAGTTTTTTTTTTCCATAACAAGGCAACGTTACATTGGATTCATCCTTGTACAATAAATCTTAGATACTTTCCGTCACTATTAATTACAAATATTGCTTAAACACGAGAATACCCAAAAAGAATTGAACTTATGACATCCAAATTTATGGTTGATCTCAAGTCCCAACTTCACAACACTAGGCTACCCTTGCAGATTGATTATGAGAGTTCTTGTCATTTGGCAATATAGCCATGGGACTTTTTGAGCTACTAATGTTATTGATGACTGTTTTTGTCAGTAAATGCTCCAACTACACTATTGGCAACCAAATAATAGAGTGAAATTTTTTTATCTTTTTGGAGAACAGGGGAAAAACAAATTACAAGTTGTCAATTACAACACAAATGTGTTACCAGATTCAAAGTGTTCATTCTCCTCCATGTCCTTTGAGCAATCAAACAGAGAGTTATGTTTTTTTTTGACAGGGAAGCATAGGTAGGCTAATCAAGTTGAGATCTGTTGAACTTATCGTTGTACATTTTTGCTTCATCCTTTGTTCAGCAATCCTGTTCTTTGGTTCGTGTAATAGATTAAGCAATCAGGCTCCTGCTTATTCATGAATCCTTATCCCACATTGTTTCTCCAAAACAATTTCCAACTATATTCTCTTTGTGTGACTCTCTCAAGACACTCATTCTCAGGTGACTAGCCCATTGAAAAGGCCTATTGACTGATCTAACAAGTTAAATCGTTTAACAAATTAAGGGAAGGGTGTCTGTACAATCTAAGCCTGGTCCATTCAATTTTGATGGAAGGAAAAATACGAACTAACACTAGAACATAAAGTGGGGGGTGTCAATCCGCACACTAACATTGGAACATAAAGTGGCTTGTTATGGAACGACGATCAAACTAAATCAATGAGGTCGTGCTCTGAAAATGTGACCATTCCATTCGGTATACCCAAGTTTTCTCTAGTCCATGATAGGCATCCAGTATAGGTATGCCATGTGGCCAAAAAATGTGAATCATCCCAGAACAAGTGATTCCTTTCGAAATCGTCCATTAATTCATATTCGTACGGGGCCAAAACAGATTGATGGTTCCTCAATAATTCATATTTGAGGCATTCCATCCCCCTCAAATGTTTTCTCCTCTAGCTTACATTACATAAAGGATTGATGGTTCCTTGGCTAGATCCAAAATATGGATTTGATATCTCAAGCATAAACTGAGCCTTCAATCTGTTTGAACCTACAAGCACATGTGGCCAAAACAGTAAAAAATATGACAGAGAATCAAAGAACCAACCATGTTGAAGTTTAACAATAATCATTTCCTTTCAACTTAATCCTTTCTCAAGCAAAATTGTTACTCTTCCTTTCTAATATCTAAACCAAATTATTAAGAGGAAAGTGAACAACTTAGAAGAAGCGCCTACACAAATTTCACATAGAAGAAGCGACTTGAAAGATCCACATCTGAAAGCATTCCAATCTCTTGCTTTATTACTTCATGACAACAACAACTTGAACTGCTACACCAATGAAAATTTTGAATAGCGCTGTTACGAGCAATATCAAGAGCTCTGGCAGAATTTTTTGTCATGAAGATCTACGAAAAAAGAGAAAAATTTATTAGACAATTAATTTATTTTTTTTGAAATTTATAAAATAGTATAATTAAATTATAACTTCTGCAATTTTAAGGAATTATTATTACTAGTAACAGAACAAGCCAACCCTACTATCACCCACAATACAAATATATGTGTGAGATGAGATACAAAGAGAAAGACATAGTTTAGGTTATACAGTTACCCAAC